GACGCCGACGGGGCTTTCGCCAACATCAGGTAACGGCGCTGGCAGCACGGCTCTGCCAACGCTCCCATGTCAGCACACCTCTTCCCTGCCCTTCTCCTTCCAGTTCTCATTTCCAGCCTAAAGCTGTTCCTGTCTACTCAATTCCCAGCAGTGCCTGCCTAAAAGCTTTCTCTCTCTCCCTGTCCCCTGAAATATTTTGGAAAGGACAACTTGGTCCACCTATGTCAAGTCAATTCCTCAGCTGCTCCTGTGCCCCTGGCCCTGCATCCCATCCCTTCCCTGTGCCACCCCACAGATTTGTGGGCAGCCAGCCCTGCCTGTGCTGATCAGGGCAGGGGCTTTACAACCCCATGTGGGGCCAAATTCCCCCGTGCTTCGCCTGCCTCGACGTGCCCAGCCCAGTGCAGCATCGCCTCCTGGGACCGTGTCCTGGCTGGGCTGCTGGGTGTAGGACCGGAGGAGCCCCAGCTCCCTCGTGCTGCTGCTGCCTCGTGTCACAGCCCAGGCAGTGAATCTTCTCCTCCTCCCACCCTCTTGCCAGTGTCCCCCCTGCTCAGGAGCACCTCTGCTCTTCCCCACAGCCGCTGCTGGCATTGTGGAGAGTCTCTGCTGGGCCGGATCCCTTTCCATTACCTCGACTTCTCCTTCTGCACCACGGCCTGCCTGCAAACCCACCGCCGGGCCCGGGCCCAGGCCGGCCACATGTAAGGCTGGGGACTGCTGCCAACGGCCGAGGACCGATGTGGGGACGTGGGCGAGCACTGGCCATGCGGCCAGGCAGAGCCTGCGGAGCTGCGCTGGTTGGAGGGATGGAGCTTGTTGCTGTCTGGGCATGAATGTCACTCTGGGGACATGACAACCAGGAGGTCCCGGTGTGCTAGTGTGAAGTGCCAGGACTGTTTGGCCTGGCTCTAGCTGAGGGTCCTGCCAGCTTTTCTCATGGCTACCTCATAGGCTGCTGCCCGTGGCGATGGGACAGATCCTGACGCATCCGGACCCCCCAGCCCTGCCTGCGGGCATCCCCTAGGCTGGGCTTTGCCCTCTCCTTTCCTGGATGCCACTGGTATCTCAGTCATATCACGTTAGCAGCTACGTCCTCTGCCTGTGTTGTCAGTAAAGAGGTGCCTTGACCCTCTAGGCGAGGGGCAAGTCGGCATGAGCACTGGAATTATTTGGGACACAAAACAAGCTCAGTCTTGGGCTCCTTTCTCCTCAGCACACACCCTGCCTGACCCCAGGAACCCTGGATGTCCGCACCAGGATGTGTGCCCCTTTCCTAGGGCCCTGCAGCCCCTCCCTGCGTGGCAGCCCCCTGCCACCCGTGCAGCCCCCGTGAGACACGATGCCGGTGCCCAGCAGCTCTGCCTTTATTCTGTGGCTGCCGTGCTGCAGCTGAGGGTCCTGTTGAAAAGGGGGTGGTCGAGGAAGAGCAAAAGAGGGGTGGGGGGTGCCCCCTCCAGCTCCAGCACCGTGATGTTGTTGGGGCGGTCGGAATGCAGCACTGAGCCGGGCACGAAGAGGGTCTGCTGGGGCCCACAGCGGGGCCAGTACCGGCCCAGGTTGAAGCTGTTTATCCACAGCTGACCCTGGAAGGTGGAGACGAACGAGTTGTGCCCCCCGCACACCCTCACCCCCTCTCCCGAGCACATCCCTTACCTTGCTCCAACCTGGGAACATCACGAAGGTGTCCCAGGCGATGCCAGGAGTCTCGAAGGACCCTGTGTAGAAGGCTGGCCCCGTTGTGCCCCCACTGCTTGATTTCGGCAGGGCAGTGTGGGGCCAGCCCTGCCTGATGGCAGTGTCTATGGCCAGGGGGTAGATCAGCCAGTTGCTGAGCGGAGTGGAGTCCAAGGAGAGGTTCCCCAGCAAGCCCTGAGATGGGGCGGGGGGAAAAGTGAGGCAGGAGGGTCTGCCCCGGGCAGGGGGATGCTTGGCTGCCCCAGGGCACGTCCCCCTTGCAGCAGTGGAGGGGGGACGGG